CACGCAGTTCCCCGGATACAGTCATGTACATGTGCTTCAACTATTCTAGAGAGAAACAGCCCGCAGAATTGGGTTTCGACAATCTGTAAGGTCAGAAAAATGGATCCTTCCTACTCGTCGATGGATGGCCGAACTGTGTGATCCGACATTCATAAACGTTTCGGTGGTGCAGCACTGTCCTCTTGAAACAAAACGTTAATTCGACTCATGTCTACCATGTGTGTGTCGTTTGTGTTGCAGCAGGAGCGTCTGATTAGTCCGTTTGGAGTAGCAGTCAGACACTAACACCGGTCTGGGTATGTGAAAACAAAAGATTCGAATAATTGGCTTGACCTTGATCAATTCAAGATGCTGACACAGATGAGTACATCTTCAAACTCAGTGTTGCTGGATGAGCTCACAGCACACACTCCTGGTTGTTACAGTTCTGTACAGTGTTTTATACACTCCTCATATTTCTCATCTACTTCGCACAGAACTAAAGGTGTGCAGATGCGCCGCCCCCTGTTGCTCACGCTGCCAGTGAGTCGATATTTCGCCATAAGTTCCCGAGACTACCTTTAGGTCACCAGCCACAACTCATCTACAAGTGTGTCGAACCAGCGCACAACCTGGCGACAGTTGTAACCACACTGCTCATACGACATCACTATCTGTCGGTAGCATGATATTTGGAAATTTTGATACAGATTTCATCCTGTAAGCGAAGCCGATCTAAGCTGAAAAGCTGAGCATCATCCTCATGTCGGTAGCATGATATTTGGAAATTTTGATGCAGATTTCGTCCTGTAAGTGAAGCAGATCTAAGCTGAAAAGCTGAGAAGTACTGTATAGTTGTTTCATCCTCACTTAGGACCATCATTAGTGCGCACCTCACGAAGCTTCAGAGTCTCGAACGCGCAACCGAAAGGCTGCAAGTTCGTTGCACGAGGACCCAGTCAACTTCACCATGTGGATCCCATGAGTGAAGGATGAGGTGCTATATCCTTTCAAAGTGTGAGTTAGTCACACTTCTAAACACCACCATCCAATGCCCAATGCCAAGTGAAATGGCTTCATCTTAAGCGCGTGGATATTTTTCCACATTTAGTGTTGCACCTACAGTTAACTCCACCAATTTTCGACTGGGGAACTCATCGACGTTGACTATAACCAGTCAGAGCTCTAAATATCAGTGGAGAATCTGGAATCCTCATCCACACTGCGCCAGAGTAACGCCTACAGAGGTGACACGCAGACAAGACTTCGGTACATAGCTGTCGCACACCAACCAAGCGGCGTTTCCTGTAAGAGCGTACAAAGATCTTTGATACATCGCCTATTCGTCAGAATCCGAAACTGTCGCATACATTGTTGACGAAAAGATATTTTACCGCCTTCTTCCCTAGCTTTATTCAGTACTGCTGACAGAATTCTGTCCGCACATACTTCACCGTCAACCTGGAAATTTATGGGCGACCAGTTGCGGCCAAACGTGGTCGCCATTTGAATGGTCATCATGATGCCAATAAACGTAGCTAACTGTTCCAAGATTTAGAGGCGGAATGTTCTCCAAAACTTCACCCAGACCAACCAAATCCAAAGTGGAAGGACTTCTAAGATTGAAATGGTGCTTTCAGGAGCCAAAGGCGATATAACATAGTACTAACTTGGCACCATTTATAGTACCATCACGATTTCAGGAGTATGCCCATTACTCCTGAAACAAAAAAACGATCAGAGACGTTGTCCAGATGAGTCTTTCTGATTTTGATGGCTGAGCAAGCTGTAAATCTACGATCGACATACCTGCGTTGTGCCATCCTAATGCTGTTATTTGGCTTATTACGGTTTGATCGCATCCAAAAATGCATTCCTGGATCGGCATCTCCTTCCGCTGAACTGCGGGGGGAGGGCTTAACAAAAGCTCACAGGCACTGGATAAAACGGACAAAGCTGCTGATCATTTTAACTCCAGTTTGTGCATGCTGTGGAATGTAGCAAAATGCACATCTGTTAAACCCCCACTTCAATGAATGCCAGGGGATGTTGCTCGGAGATTCTGAAGGTTATTATCTGCATAAAAAATTCCGACCTACCAAGTGGGACGAGCATTTGCTACAAGTTTGTTTATCATCGCGGCGCCCATTCTATGATGTAACTTTAATAGCTCGTTTACAGACCCCAAAGCTGCCAATATAGAATCACCAGTACTCGTGGTTCATATTCAGCAAGGTGACTCATTTTACTGATTTTTAATGCTCAATATCACTGGAATAGCAGCACAAAGGACGCGGGTCTCCGGTAACAAAGCCAATCGATGAGCTTCCGTGGGCACCTTAATGTGTTCGGAACGTGGGGACCAGTTAGCCCGAGGCTTGAAAATCCCGTCTACTGTCCTTTAATCAGTAGTCCAACTTGAAATCGCTGGATCGATCGCAGAATGTCTTAAAATGAAAAAGCGTACCATCAAGACCAAGGTGTCCAAAAGACAAAAGACTGCGGGTTGTACCAAACCACCGACAAGCGCATCTAATTTTAGGCGAGTAGCAACTGAAAATCTCAGAGAAAGAACGGCTGTTAATGCAGAAGCTTCCTCCACAAGAATGCCAGTGCTTCAACTGACCATAATGACAACTACATTAGCGTCAGAGACAGTAACACGAGTGTTGACACTCATGCTTCACTGCCGTACAACCACAGACTTCATTTAATTTTATTTAAAGCCTTAAAGCAAAAAGAACCGAAAAGAATGGGTGAGTGAGGGGACCTGGTGCTGGCCTATTGCAAGCACTCTGAGGTGCCTACACCTCAAAGGGCTCAATCAGACAATCTAAACTGACAGAATTAGCGCCACTGACATCGAACAGCCGCCATTTCTTGCAGTGTTTCCAGCCGAGCGCCGGAGGGGTCACACGGAAACCATCCTGAGAGGCGTACCCTACTGACAAAACCTTCACACGGAAACCATCCTGAGAGGCGTACCGCACTGACAAAACCTTAACTCCTCATAATCTCTTTCACGCCCTTCTGTCAAGTCATACGTTGTCCACCACGCGGTTTGTCATTCTGAAGGATGCACGAGAACAAAACTCGGAATGCGAAGCGCATGGCCGAGCCATCATAGTCAACGATGCTGGATTTGTTCCGTGGCTGAAGCAACCTGTTGAACAACCAAATACTTTTTCTAATTACTTCGTTACGAATTCGTTGCCGCAATCTGACAGGAGTAACGCTTCTGAAGTATCGGTGATCAAAAACCTGCAGATGCCTTACATCATTTTTCCACAGGACATATCTGGCAACCATACAGCTAACCACAACCAATATAGCCCCAACCACACCCTGGTGCACAGGAACACCGAGACTTACAGATATGCCGTTTTAACTTTACAAGTGACGCTAAATAGCAAACATAATCCGGACCTCTGAGATTCGCGCACTGACACTCCAATCACAGCTAATATAACCACCGAGGTACGCAAATTCTCCACAATCTCCAGTGTGTCCCCTTGAATTTGAAGGAGTCTGTTCAGAGAATGCACAATCGGAAGTATCACGTTGCACTCTGAAGGTGCAAGATATACGCTGAAAGATGGTCGGTTTACTCAACAGAGCTTGTGCTTCGCCTTCATCTTCGAAGATGAGGGCGATGCCACCTGCGACAAGATTCTTACCGGCAACGACCTGAACACTGTGGTTCTGAAGACTGTTCAGTGCTCACCTCAGTAGTTCATCAATGACAAAGTTGAAAATGAATGGACAATGGAATCCTTGTTCAACACCGTTTTTGTGAGGAAGCTTTTAGAGTCCGTCATACATCCTGACCACGAATGTGGGGATTTGACTATGTTCACAAAATTCTGGACACATCCGTTGAGCAAGCGTGGCTACCAGCACTGATCGATCGACAGAAGCGAACGAAAATTTGAAGTAGATAAACAGAAAATTGTGGGACGCCTGCACGTACGTCGTTGCTCTAAGGCCTGACAGTGTGAAGATGTGGTCGACACAACCCCTACCCAGTCGAAATCTCGAGTAACGCTCATGGGTTAAGGATTCACGTACCGCTGCAAGATGCCGAAGAATCAGTGACGCCAGAAGCCTTATTACTACCCCACAACGTCATGGGAGAAACGTCACAGCCACAGCGAAACCAGTTGTAAGTGAACTAAATTTATGCCAACGGCGCCCTGTGAATAACAGACCAAGGGTAACTGTCGAAACCTCCGTCGAATTCCAAGGTGATATCCACACCCAATCGATAGTACTCAGAAACTAATCTGACTGGGAAATTCCGAGTGCCTGTGGAGAACCATCCAAATCGGATTGGAAATGCAGTAGTGGACCGATTTCAGATCTTCTTAATGTTATAAGAAAAGTATTGCCCATGGGCTGTCAAAAGAGTGAAGTCTGATTAGTTTGTTCCATAATGCGTGCGCTTTGAAGACGACTAAAGGAAGTGAAAAAAACACCTAACCAGGCGAGGATTGAATCAAATTCAGACGGTGAATACTCAAAGATTAGGAACAGCCTTATGCTAGGATGGTGACGTAAAGCTAGGACTGTTTTCTATCGTTTTTATACTAGTTCCTAATCAAAATGTCCATCGGTTCAGGCGGCACGCACGGATATCGGCGATGTAAAGTCAGTGTGCGCAACTTAGGCGAACATAACGAGAAAATGAGATGACCCGGAACACAGCGTAACGACTTAAAGAAACCAGTCTCTTCCTCTACCAGCAACAAGTGACTACGAATTGGATTCGCAAGCGTTGGACCATTCGTCCCTTATGCTTGACATTTTGGAAACTGGTATAGAGAGGGAGAAGCATAAATGAAGCATCAGTAGCCGAATGACTCAAGCGGACGAACTCGATCCTAAGGCGGTCGGTACTCAAGATGGTTGAAGCAAGTCAGCCTTTTTGCGGCAGTTACGCCTCCGCTGGTCTGAGGATTCCAACACGAGAAATATCTTTGCAGTCGGATAAAACGGATAGTGACAATGATCCGATAAATACTGCCAAAGCGAACCCATTCTCAGAAAATGGAAAAGATTTATTGCCATAAAATGATAACAGAGTAGCATCAGTCTTTCTCCGCCATCGTTGTGAGCAAATTATCCACTTCCTCCACCGTGAGTTTCCTGAAAAATGGACCCAATAAGTTTCCGATGTAAGATAGAGACGATTACAAGGTTTATCAAAACTTCAGAAGACCTGAATACAGATAGATTCATTACGCTTTCGGTCAAAACGCAATGCTGCAAAATAATTCTTGTCCAGAGCCAACGCAATGCTGCAAAATAATTCTTGGTCCAGAGCCCACTTGGACCAATATCCCATCAAACACCTTTTCAAGAGCACTTCTCACATAATTTAGATAAGCACATATAAAAGGAAGTTTCGAAATTCGAAATATACACCTAAACTTTTCGGGTTATTTAGATTTTCATTCCCATTATCCCTCACCCCAGACAGAACCTGGAAACGTGCCGCGGTGATTTTCAGCCGCAAAATGGTCTTACCATTTCATAGTGCTTCATGTCATTGATATTATATATTTTATCTTATTTTTTGATATCAGTGAAGTCAGGGTGACGAAATAGTAAAAGATCGTGCAATGCCAGAAAATCGTGTCCTCCTGCGGAAATCAGCTGCCAGTTTACAAACGAGTAAACAAACTGGCAATACAGCTCTAAAGTTTTGTTGGCCAAAAACCAATCACAAGCCTCACGTTCCAAATTCCTGTATTTATAAACCGTTGGTTGATCGAGAACATCCGAAATTGCAATATGAGCGTGTCAGTCCGTTCTCGTTAAAGTTGGACAGTGGCAATGAATGACATACATGGCTGGTTTGCCTTCTCAGAGATGGATGTTCAAGTAATTACCTAACGCGTAGTTTAATAACCTAGAAAATTTCTAAGGAGTGAACGCCAGAAACATGAAACACGAAGAAAATGTTTGTTCTGTTAGCCGGACCGCTGGTTGAGTCAAAACCTTTTTCAAATTTATCACGGTGCTTAAATGAAAAAAATGGTAATAAATTGAAATGTACAATGTCAGAGTAAAATTTTTAGGTACTCATAAAAACCGATGTAAACAAGGTACCGTGACTAAAAAATTGAACAGGGAGACAGTGCATGCGTCCGGCTAATCAGTACGATGTCGGTGGAGTGCCGATGAAGGAGTAGTAAGCCGATGTCGAAACTGTGCTTTTATGTTAGCTTGAGGGTTAAGCTAGATAAGCAACGAACTTAGTGGCTATATGCGGAACCTTTACTGGTTATGCGGTTGGACAATACGGTAACCCGACTAGAAATACTGAGATTACTGGTCTGAGTTTTAACGCTTCGTCAATGTATTCAGTGTAGCAAACTCAAAACTCAGGGCGGTTGCAACGAAACTGGTTTATCTGAAACGAATCGAAAAGTAAATCAAACGTGCAACTCTGTTCCCTCTTATGGCACGGCGGGCGTGTAGGATACCCAAAACCAAAAGGAAGCGGGCGAAATCCACAAGTGAGTGCAAATCATGGGCCAATCAATCAGGAGTCACAGGATGCGGTGAATTCGAGGTCGAAACACGTCCACTAGGGTCCACGGGGCAAGCTTTGGTAGGTTTAAACATGGACTAGGTCGTTGTATTTAGTTATTGACCATTACCTTAGATCAAGTGGTAAATCGAGATGAAACGGGATTGTTTTGGCTGCGGGAACGGCATTTCGCGCCTCGACTGCTATTCGACGGATAGTAGGAGATAAGGAGACTCTGATTGTTGGTTTGTTTCCTGAGTTGGGCAATTTGATTGCAAACGTTCCATCATCAATCGAGGTAATATCATCAGTGCGTTATTAAGGCGCGTGGTGGAGCGTAGCGATGGGTCGGTGGTTGTACCTGCTCTATAGGCGTTCATCATGGCTAACTAAACAAGTCCAAAGGATTAAACGGTTGCCCGACTAATTGGTTGTGCTAACCGATTTGAACAAGTCACCTGCGAAGTAAGCAATCTTGTTAAACTGCCAAAAATTATAATAAGTAAAGACCTGGACTACAGACATTCCATCGAAAGATTTAAATATGGTCTGGCACCCCTAGAAGCCAAACCGTTAAACAGTCCCGGCGGTGATGCTAAATAAACATTAAAGAGTAATGTGGATTAACGCTCCTTATCAAAAGTTCAGTTGTGTAGGGATTGCTCTGGTAAACGATGGTAGATATTTAATTAGGTTATAAGTTCGCCTGGAAGGCAAACTCGTTTTGGATGATTATTTTGGCAGATAAAATTTATGCGTATGGGGTCCTATGGTCCACCGCTTGAGAATGCTCATCACAGGAATGTGTCCGACCCCTGTTCACCCACCAGATGAGCCTTGGTCAGAACAGAAAGCCTTGTGTAACCGAGTTTTACAGCGTCCGATCAAACGCTCACGGTAAATACTCGGTTGCAATCCAGGATCGACGGCTCACAATGAAAGACCTTCCCCAGTGGAGACATTGTCCTAAAAAATCTACAGCTGTATTAACAAAGATTCATACCTAACTTGCAGTTCCCCAGTCGTGCTGCCAAGTGAAGGGTCAAGTGCCCGATAAGCTGCATTGGAAACGAAAGATTTTAGCTGTGCTGTATTAACAAAGATTCATACCTAACTTGCAGTTCCCCAGTCGTGCTGCCAAGTGAAGGGTCAAGTGCCCGATAAGCTGGAAACGAAATCCTTATCAAAAGTTCAGTTGTGTAGGGATTGCTCTGGTAAACGATGGTAGATATTTAATTAGGTTATAAGTTCGCCTGGAAGGCAAACTCGTTTTGGATGATTATTTTGGCAGATAAAATTTATGCGTATGGGGTCCTATGGTCCACCGCTTGAGAATGCTCATCACAGGAATGTGTCCGACCCCTGTTCACCCACCAGATGAGCCTTGGTCAGAACAGAAAGCCTTGTGTAACCGAGTTTTACAGCGTCCGATCAAACGCTCACGGTAAATACTCGGTTGCAATCCAGGATCGACGGCTCACAATGAAAGACCTTCCCCAGTGGAGACATTGTCCTAAAAAATCTACAGCTGTATTAACAAAGATTCATACCTAACTTGCAGTTCCCCAGTCGTGCTGCCAAGTGAAGGGTCAAGTGCCCGATAAGCTGCATTGGAAACGAAAGATTTAATGTAGCTGAGCTTTACGGGGGATGACCGCACCTGGTGGATTTTTAGGCAAATTAGAAAATTAGCCGAGCTCCCCCTCCTATTGAGGTTTTATGGGAACACATTCATACAAATGTGTTCACAATAGCACAACTGACATCAGACAAACCTGAACACGGGATCCGATTTCGATACAACGCCAATTTCGAGTTCCGACGCTTTGAATTCCATAGAGTGTATGTGGGACAAACACCGTACAGCAACCTCAATAGCCTCTTCCAGGTCGAAATTTTCTTTCTTTCTGAGCTGGAAAAAAACGGAAAAACATGTCACATGTGCTCCCTTTTGGTACCCATTATAATTATAAACTATGTGGTATTGGATGGGGCATAGGAAAATATATGGAACATTTATGAAAACAAAAGCGACAAAGTATACACTGCTTTGTCCAACTAGTTCTGGGTTGTGATGAGCACTGCTCGGTGTAATGATTTCACTAGACTGTTTGTTTATCTGTTCATCATACTACGTTGACCTTGACTATGAATGTACGTCAAAAGATGAAATGCGCAAAACAGGTGAATTGAACCTATCTTGTTAGGATGCTTCTTGTTTTCATGAAATCGCCATCGGCATGCTGACAATCATCACTAGGAGCGGCAACAACAACGCCAGTTACAAACCATGTACAGGTCGTAAAGTGGCTCCAGCCACCACGGTATTGTTTACTAATGAACATCGGGTCCAGAAAACCGTATATTGGAGGCGAAAGCCCCAAGCATTGGTAAGTGAGAATAGCTCGTCTTGAACTTGACACCGTGTTAATGCAAATAGTGTTAAATAATCTAAATGATTTTGCCTCACCTTTCGGCATGCTCTTCACACATGTAAAGTTCTGCTGCAAGACTATGTGGGCTCTAACCCTGCCTTATGCTTGCAGATGAGCTTATTGAATGGACAGATGGACAATCATCACTAGGAGCGGCAACAACAACGCCAGTTACAAACCATGTACAGGTCGTAAAGTGGCTCCAGCCACCACGGTATTGTTTACTAATGAACATCGGGTCCAGAAAACCGTATATTGGAGGCGAAAGCCCCAAGCATTGGTAAGTGAGAATAGCTCGTCTTGAACTTGACACCGTGTTAATGCAAATAGTGTTAAATAATCTAAATGATTTTGCCTCACCTTTCGGCATGCTCTTCACACATGTAAAGTTCTGCTGCAAGACTATGTGGGCTCTAACCCTGGCCTTATGCTTGCAGATGAGCTTATTGAAGTATTGGACAGATGAATCTACTTGGGCAGCTATATCAGTTCCGGTGGTTCCGCGAAAGATGACATTCCCATCAGATTGAAAGGGCTACAGCAGTTTTTGTGAAACTGCACCAACTGTGGCTTGCACTTTACTTCAGCTTATTCGTCAAGGAAAGAAAGAAAGAAAGCGTTCAGCTATAGCACCCTTCCGGTGCCTAGCTGCCATGCCACCCGAAGGAAGCACGATGGCTAGGATACTGCCAGGTTGCCCAAGCCTAGACAGGGGAAGTCGAGTGGCGGAGGTCGGATTCGAACCACGGACCTTCCGGTCAGTAGATTCGCGCTCTAACCATTTGGGCCATCTCGTCAAGGATTGAGTTCACAATGCTGCGGTGCGCTCCATATTATCATACGGGTCAGAAACCTGGACGCTGCGCGCCGAGGATATCAAAAAACTGTGCTTGACCATCAATGTTTTTAAGACGTTACCCGAGTCTGTTTGAAACACCGGATTCGAAATGCTGATGTACGTCGAATGGTTTTCGGAAATAGCTCGCCCACGATACATGACTGATCACACTCCATAGGTTGCGCTGACTTGGTCATGTGCTCCGTATGCCTGTCGACCGACTTTCTCGAAGGGCTTACTTCACACAACCACGTGAAGGGTGGAAACGAGTCAGGGGAGGTCAAACAATGAATTGGCAATCATTACGAGCAAACTCAGTTGTGCTGGCCATTGTCGTCTCTCTGGACGGGGAACTCGTGACGGAACACATCAATGTTTGGAGAAATTGTCATAAATGGTCTGTTCGCACCCTCGATGACACTCATGCATCCTAGCTGTTGCCTTCAGTGTATAGCTCCCTTCCCGATCTCCCCAAAGAAAAGTCCCCTGACACCCCTATATTTACGTATGATTAAATCAGCCACCGCCTCCAATGCGCAACTGCGTAACCCATCTCCCCAAATCATCGATGAACGAAATCGTGACATTGTATGGCAAGTTTTTACACCTGATGATGACGATGAAGAACCTGTTCCACCTGTTCACCTGTTCCAGCCGATTTCAGGTATAGCTCAGAGATACCGGTGGTCAAAGACCTGAAAACGTCTCACATCCTTCGCAACCGTACAATACAGCTGTCATCTGATGAACGCATCTTTGCGACCCAGTGATATGCCTTTCTCATGCTACAAGTGAAACTAAGTGACAGAAGCAATGCTAGCACCTGAGATCCGTGCAATGACTTCGTCTGTCACCCTACCATCAGAGGTAACGCAACTTCCGAAAAACATAGTCTTTCACAAATTCCAGTGATACTCCTTGAATTCTTTCATGAAACGAAGTGCAACTCGGTGGGAACGAGTCACGGGATCAAGGAATGGATGACCATGGCCAGCTTTTCCAGCAATCCTTACGCTTCCTCTTATTCTCCGAAAGTGAGAACATTGCCGTCCGCATATTCCACGTTGGCATTTTTTCGCTCGGAGAGGCCTGAACACGGGGGTTTGAGGAACCTTCCAAAGTTTCGCAATACCTCATCCATGACGAAGTTGAGCAAACAAGGAGAATGGACACTTATCGGAGACCGCTTCTTGTAGGAAAGCCTCTTACGCGCCCATAAGCGTGTGAATACAAACATAGCCACATACAAGTAACGAACAGCCGAGGTACGTCCTATTGCACAGGCCGCTGAAAAGAACAAACCGGCTAACAGGATGGAACGCACCATCCAGATATTAGGGCGCTTGCACACACATCGTTGCCCCAGAATTTGAAGGAGTGTAAAGATGTGGTCCACACAGCCCATTACCGGTAGGGATCCTGCTTATTGTTCTCAGATCCCGTTTTCGCATACCTTCAAAAGACAACTCCTAACGGGCGAAGTAGAGTCTCGTCACAATGGGGGCCAAACTCATTTTTAGGTTACCGCGACATCCACTGCTAGACCTCTTGTTGAAAATGGGCTCCATTATCCAATCAGGGGTCTTTTCGCCAAGATAAAGGCGTATAAAGCGGAAAAGCACGAGCAATGAGTTTCACTTACATCCTTAAACAGGGCGCGCCAGGACCAGCGGCTGGGTAGCTGCTGAGAGACAACAAGCATTCGCTTATTTCCGAAGCCATTGGGGTTCCAAGTTCAATCCTGGGCTGACTGCAGGTTGGGGGTCCGAGAGGGCAGGTAGCTCAGTTGTTGTTGAGGATGTTCAACCCAACAAATAACGCGTTCCGTTTTAGAGACTATCCCGTTCAACAGAGGCTTCTTTGGGTCAGTTGCATGAATGAGCTAGAATAGTTTACGCACACTCCCAGCTCCCCACTTCCCCATCTCTTCCAGAGTCCAGACCCATTGGGGTTCTCGGTCCGCGAGGATGTTTTCTTTTCACCTGACGTCTGACAATTCCTCGAGTTGTATTGAAATCTCGAACAGGAGGATTAAGTCCCGCATGCGGGGCGCAATAAATAATGTACGGTTGCGGACAGTACTTTCCGGTAAGATTCAATATCAGAAGACCTACTACACGAAATGGAGTTGGTTTCAGTAAGTATGTTTCACATCAGAGTCCGAGAACTTCTCAATGACCAGGCGATGTGTGTACATCTTGGGCGCCCATGAAAACCACGGAGAACCAGGAAAGAAGGAGCAGCAAAACGACAGTCAGCAACTGGACGGTACTACTTATAGCCAATGAAGATGTGGTCTATTTGTATTCGAGGTTGGATCGTGTGCAAGAAACAGCGGGTGATCGAATGGGTTTGGTTGTTCCGAAAGTGTGTACTACATGAAAACGGTCTGTGACTAACAACTAGCTCCAGCAGGCGTTCACTGTTGTCCGTGCGTCTCGACTGTAGTCCAAGTCGATCACTCAAATGAGCCTCAACAGCGTTAACATCCAAAAAGGCATATCCCTGAAAATTCACCTCCGTGCGAGTAAACCTCAATCTGATTCATACGCCCAACTGAATGCACGAACCAGCGTAGTTTAGATGAAGACGATGGAGGGCATGGTGAAGGGTACAATCTGCACTTACCTCTTTTTCTAGAAAAGTCATGGCCGCCACTTGCTTGTCACCAACAGCAACAGCTTTGTGTCCAGCAACAAAACCGCTCGGGTCAACTTTGTACAACTGGGGTTTACCATACTCCTGGTCGTATGCGATGGCCAGCATTGCACACCCAAGCGGCCGCATCTCGGCTGATTGAGTGTACACCTGATTAATTTCACCAATCCTACGCACAATGGCGTCGCAAGGCATTTCGTACCTAAGTCCGAATATGTAAGATAGAGCGAACAAACCCGTGCTTATATTTAAAGTTGGACGCCTCGTATCGAGCGCGATGCACTTGAGCATAGCAATCTGGTAACATACCAGTCATTATGCATCCCGCTGACTCTGTGAGCCGGAAAAGGCGCGTCACTGATTCTCTGTCGATTAATTTGTCTGGCAACTTGAGCTGAGAAGCGACAACTGCACAATCTTCACCGCGTACACCAACGGATATTAGACCATCTACGCTGACCGCTTTCAGTGAATACTCTGAAAGCCCGAAGATTCATATACTTATTTAGATAACTTACCAACTTGAAACAGCCGCCCTTCTGGGGAGAAGATCGTCATAAAACGATCAAACCCGCTGGCGCTTGAGGCCGACATCTCTAGACGCACAATCAGCAAGAAACTCAAATGAGAGGGTCGTCCAGGCGATGAATCTCGCGCTCCAATTGGTGGATTCGAGCACTATATTTCTACATGTGCTTCTTAGAAGTGGGTTGTCGACTTTGGATCAACCCAGTTCGCCGTCGGTAAAGGAGATCTACTGGCATACAGACTGCCCCAAGAAACTGCAGAATACAGTTACTGAATGCACTTGAAAAATTTAAAAGTTGATACCTGAAAATGCCAAGTGCCTGTGTAACTATATAACAATTCCACATCCCCCGGCACTATTCAAAGGCAGTTGTCAACATGCTGTTCACAGCTACTCCGAAAACAGTGTACGCAATTTCTCAATCTGGCGGCAATGTATGGATATATCGAGGTGGTATTTCAAAGGCTTTCACGTAGTTGCCCAAAATTCATCCTGAGAGAACTTTGGGGGAATAATGAAACATATCAATGAGAAAATTATTAGATGAACACGGTGCTCCCCCGATAAGGTTTTGATTGGAAAACCGCAACAGATTTCCGTGCTGAACATCATCCAATAGCAAACAACCTTTTGTCCAATGGGAGAGCCGGACGAACAATTACTAAACAGCCAATTCGTTTGCTTTCTGCATTGGGTTTGGAAATAATCCAAACACTACATTAAAATGATTACGCCCCCTATTTCGGCGCAAGGTCGAAATGGAGCAGCCATTCATGCCTGCATGAGCAGTTTTTATATATTTGCGGCAGACATCCCGCTAAATAAATCCGAGGAATTCGTTGCACCCGATGAGTTTTTTTGTTGTTTTTTATGGTGGTCAACACATTCTATCGGTTACGCGGCAATGCTTCATCTTCACGTTTATTCAAACCCTTTGATAGGGCCATTGAAAGATTCAGTAGTTTTATGCGCAGAACCAGCAGACAGCACAACAGGGTGGACAGTGCTTCCAAGTTCCGGCGCAAATTCAACGGCGTGAGACGATCCTGTAGACGTGTGTAACATGTTCGATCGGAAAACTTTAGGGGTAAGAACTACGGGCAAGTTTTCAGCCTGCGCATGTCAGTCGCGGTACTATTACCTCAACGTCCTACTAGGGTTCGTGGACATCCTCGCACGCTAATATCCTGGGGAATCATTTGGGCTTATCGTGGTAGTTGAAACCGGTCAGGTAATCGTAATCAATCAAGACTAGTATGGATCAATTACATTCTTGAACGCACGATGGTCATTTTCTGTCATTCAGAAAAGGAAATAAAACAACAGTGTCTATATTGGGGATGCCCGATTGGAGGGGGCAAGATGGTATGAGCTATACTGCGGCCCAAAATAGCAGGCATCCAAAAGTGGACACTGATTCTGACTACCACAGTTAAGCAACAGTGTCCAATTCAAAACGGTAGTTGATATCCAGGTCGATGCAAACATTGGTAGGTGTGTGTGAGTACGACAGATGTGCATCAGTCCAATGGGCGCAACGTTTTTTATGGTGGTCAACACATTCTATCGGTTACGCGGCAATGCTTCATCTTCACGTTTATTCAAACCCTTTGATAGGGCCATTGAAAGATTCAGTAGTTTTATGCGCAGAACCAGCAGACAGCACAACAGGGTGGACAGTGCTTCCAAGTTCCGGCGCAAATTCAACGGCGTGAGACGATCCTGTAGACGTGTGTAACATGTTCGATCGGAAAACTTTAGGGGTAAGAACTACGGGCAAGTTTTCAGCCTGCGCATGTCAGTCGCGGTACTATTACCTCAACGTCCTACTAGGGTTCGTGGACATCCTCGCACGCTAATATCCTGGGGAATCATTTGGGCTTATCGTGGTAGTTGAAACCGGTCAGGTAATCGTAATCAATCAAGACTAGTATGGATCAATTACATTCTTGAACGCACGATGGTCATTTTCTGTCATTCAGAAAAGGAAATAAAACAACAGTGTCTATATTGGGGATGCCCGATTGGAGGGGGCAAGATGGTATGAGCTATATTGCGGCCCAAAATAGCAGGCATCCAAAAGTGGACACTGATTCTGACTACCACAGTTAAGCAACAGTGTCCGATTCAAAACGGTAGTTGATATCCAGGTCGATGCAAACATTGGTAGGTGTGTGTGAGTACGACAGATGTGCATCAGTCCAATTGGGCGCAACCGAAATACCCAGCAGTGATCAGAGAAAAACGTCAAGTGTCTGGTAGTTTTGCGTGTTCGTACGCTGAGATGGCCTCGGAATGGCGCAGTTACAGCCTAAAGAAAAGCGTAGATTCTTTGTAGAACGAGTCACCCCTGAGGTGATATACTGCGCGTTTTAGTGACTTTGTTTAAATTTTTGTTCTGCTATCAATGGATTTTCGGATCCACAAGGACGCTTTCCAAAATATATGCGCCCATCATATCAAGCCTAGGACATGGGCACAGGCGCCCGACAAAAGTTGCTCCCATTTTAGTTTTCTTTTTTCTCTAATGCAAAAGGTGGGGTAGGGTAGGGATGTCTTTGTGGAGGGGACATGCACTTCAGGTGAGAGGCGCCAACCGTGAGATCCTTTTAATTGTCGGGGAGAGAACTGGCGGACGTAGTATGGATTAATTTGGTGGATATAAACATAATATGTTCCTTGTATTTCTACACTTCCGCATGTGTGAGAGTATATGGAAAGCTCTCCAAAAACTCCAATGAAAAGTGATGTCCATCAGGGTCCCCACTATCTCCCTTATTTCATTTCGTAATCGATGAGATGAGACGAAGGCCTAAAGATCTTCAAAGGCCAAATTTCAAATAGCATCCGACAGAAAACTTGTCGATCTTGAATATGCAGACGATATCGTTTTCATCTTCTAATGATGATTTTGGATGAACTGAATAAGGTCATCTAGTCCTTTGGTGTGCATTTTGCACCCACAAATTGTAAGACCATGCTCGTGAATATGCGGCAAACTAACACGACACCTGCAATCCAGGGAATGTCACACGAGACCATAGAGCGTTTCACTTACGTGGGAAGTTGTTTTGGTTCCGACTATAGGCGACGGAATCGATCAATACATGAATTTGCAAGGCTTGGTTTGCGCTTACTAATTTAATACGACTATGGCGCAACAATGGGGCATATCCTGATTCTCAACAGATGTGCATATCAGGCTTCAATGAGGGCTGTTTCGTTCTGTGACCGGAAAAGCAAGCCTGTCCGAGCAGCGCATCTGAGACGTTTTCAGGTGCTCGGCAACTGTTGTCTCAGAACCATAGCTCGTGTAGTTTGGTGATGGCGAATTCATAACGAGGAAATTAGAAAGTGAGATTGGGTTGTGCAACGAATAATATATTAAAGAATTTGTCCAGCATCCGAAGCTGCGCCTGTCGGGCCATGTATCGTGTATGCCGAACCGTCGCTTGCCGAAGTGAGTGGTGTTTTCCGTGCCCAAATCACAGTGGTGTAAGCACGGGGTGGCCAACCCTTGAGCCGGCAGACATTGTAAGACCATGCTCGTGAATATGCGGCAAACTAACACGACACCTGCAATCCAGGGAATGTCACACGAGACCATAGAGCGTTTCACTTACGTGGGAAGTTGTTTTGGTTCCGACTATAGGCGACGGAATCGATCAATACATGAATTTGCAAGGCTTGGTTTGCGCTTACTAATTTAATACGACTATGGCGCAACAATGGGGCATATCCTGATTCTCAACAGATGTGCATATCAGGCTTCAATGAGGGCTGTTTCGTTCTGTGACCGGAAAAGCAAGCCTGTCCGAGCAGCGCATCTGAGACGTTTTCAGGTGCTCGGCAACTGTTGTCTCAGAACCATAGCTCGTGTAGTTTGGTGATGGCGAATTCATAACGAGGAAATTAGAAAGTGAGATTGGGTTGTGCAACGAATAATATATTAAAGAATTTGTCCAGCATCCGAAGCTGCGCCTGTCGGGCCATGTATCGTGTATGCCGAACCGTCGCTTGCCGAAGTGAGTGGTGTTTTCCGTGCCCAAATCTCAGTGGTGGAAGCACGGGGTGGCCAACCCTTGAGACAGCAGACGGGTTTGAAGGAGATTGCGAAAGGTTTAGGTGCTGTCTCTGCTACTCCTGTTGCAGGATGAGGTCCGCGTGATTCCCACTGCGCCTGGATGTTGACGGCGTAAGTTATGGCCGCTAATCGAGGCCAGTGGCGTTTTTTGTCAGTTTTCATCCAGATTTTCTAGATGAATGTCTGTAGTGGAGTTGGATGAGGACTAAACCTATTGAACAGACAGGAAGTTGAGCCTCAAAATTGCCTGAAAGGCCGAACAACTTCTTACTGTTATGGGTCTAAGATGTGGAAGCTACATTACATGTTGAAAAGCACAAAATGTCGGCGCAAAAACGCAAGCACGTTAGCTGATCAGTTTCCCGAGACGGAGCCCCTAGTTGTTGAAACTGCCACTGGTGTTACTTATGGGCTAGTTAGAATTTATAAGAAGGACGACTGAGCTGTCGAGTCTATTAAGCTGCATGGTTCCGGTACCAGGAAGCAGAAGTCAAGTTAATTTAGGATTTAGTGCTCTAAATGAACAGATTTGACACCAGGGACAAGCCCATTCACTAGATCACTGCCATGGCTGCATCCATAGGTGCAGGTTTGTGGGCGCATGTGGCATTTGGATTCTAGTACACACGACTCTACAGCTTGGTTTTTGATTGACTAGTGTATCTGCTTCTTTAGCTTCAACTTCACTGAATCTTGCTTTCGAATCATCGATGTACACACTTCACCCTCATCACCCTCGGTAGGACTAACTGAGCAAGTGGTAAGTTTGCCTTTATAGCGGTAAGACTTCAGCTTCAGCGTAGACACCGATCGGGAATTTTGGACAGCTGGATTTATTGGGTACCCGATGATTTAGCCACTATTACCTTGTTTGATTGTCTTTTGATTGATACTGCGGAAGATGAACACGAGCCGTAATTGAATATGCATTTTTCTTTCACAAACCCTGTCGAGTAAAAGTGGCTTCCTGAAAAACAGAAC